GACAGGGCCCATCTGGAAACAGGAAACCCTTTTGGCAGATGGTGGAGGAGTCGGGGTGTGAGGCCCTGCTGGAATCTGCCTTTGGCTCCTGGGCTTAGGGTCCTATGGATACCAGGATTCCATTCACTGAGCAAAATCCCTCACCCTTCCTCTTCTCACTCAGAGCGCTTATTTATTTAAAATGTATTTTAGCCTTTTCATCAGAGGCTTTATTGTGGTTTGACTGAGCTTCTCCACAAAACTTTGCTCCCTAGAAGTCTGCTTTCACCCCACCCAAATTTTCCTCTCAGCTGACCCTCCTGTCATTCAGTCAGGAGGCCCTAATGAGGACCTATTGTGTGCCAGGTGGCTACTGATCTGCAGACACATCTAAGACATATTCTTGCCACACACGAGGCTCTGCTGGTAGGAGGTTCCAGCAAGCTGACATCTGTAATGGGGCTGGCATATGGGACTCAGTAATGGGGCTGACACAACAGGGACTCAGTACAAGGCCTTTTGTGGCATCTAAAACTCTTGTCTGAGTGTTCCGACGTTAACTTGGAGCTAGGAAGGAGAAAGCTCCTCTCGTTGGGAGAAGTCAGGGAAGCTTTCTGGAACATGTGGGAATGGATGGTGATTAATGTTGATGGCTGACATCACTGAGCATTTACAAGGTGTGCACACTAAGTTACTTCACATGTTGTATTTTTCAGTCTTCACAGAGGTGAGATAGATACCACTAATATTCCTACTATATAGAGGAGTAAAAGGTGGCTTGAGAGATGAAGGAAGCTTCCAGAGTCAGTCAATGGAGGTCAGTAGGGGTGGACCTGTCGGCCTCCCAAGGACACAGGTCTCTCCTCTGCAGCCTGCCTCTTGGGGAAGGGGTATTCAAAGCAGGGCATCTGGGTAGGGATGTGTATGGGCCCAGCCAGGCTCTTTTCTGGGCTTCACTGTGCCCTGCTTGTCCTCCTCTTTCCCTTCTTATGGATATAGAGGGTCACATAGGTTGGGGTGACAGTGGTGGATGGGGGAGATATGTTTTCCCATCACATTCAGGGACCCCCTGGGTGACAGAGTCCTCTACACTGTAGCCTCGCCCTGTCTGTTATCCCTATTTGGTGGCCACCCCAGAGCCCCAGGCAAGGCTGAGGGGTGAGGGGTGAGGGTGAGGGGTGTTGACATGGCCATACCCCAGTGCTGGCCATTTGCCTGTTCGCCTTCAGATCATTGCTCTTTCTCTCTCTCCTCCTCTGTTCTGTACTGCAGGGAAATTGGCCCAGGTGGGCTGCATTTCTTGGACTCCCTTGTCTGCTTGTTCTGGCTTCAGTCAATGAGAGACCCTGGTGGGGATTGGGGGCAGAAGAGGAGAGAAGTCAGGATATTTCTCCCTCTGTCCCAGCTTGTCGGGTGGAATCACCTGAGCCAGCTCTTGGCAGTTGCTGCCTCTCCTCCATGGTTCCAGCCCCCCGCCCCGCCCCAGGATGGCCTCCCTGTCAAGGTCTCAGCTTCTGTAGGAGGCCTCCACGGCAGTCCGAGCCCTGTGCCTGGCAGTCTCCACTGTGGTTCCAGTACCACCACCCCTCTTGGTGCCCCTCCAGCCCTGGGGTGGTAGCCAGTAGCAGCAGCAAGTTCCTACTCATGCTCATCTCTGAATTATATCCCTTGTTTGGTTTCTCGGTAGTTCCACACCCAATTCCCTGAATTAAATTTTTGGAATGTTTAGAGTGGTTTTTTTTTTTTCCAACTGGATCCTGAATGATACACCACCACTACCCCACTCCCAACAAGGTGACTTAATAGGGTCCAAGTTCCCAGTCCATCCATAGTAAGCTCTCTGGATAAATGACATCATGACAGCTCCCGACTCCCCGGAGAAGCAGTTCTGGAAACTCCATGTCTGGCTGCCTGGCTGAGCTCTCACTCCAAAGGCTCCTGCCTCTGCTTTATGCTGAAGACCCCCACCTCCACCCCTGCCTCCACGTCTTTAAAGGAAAGCAGGACAGACATGTCAGCCAGGCCTCCTTCCAGCAGTTAGAATGCTTGGCTCAGAGCCTGGGCTGTCCTTTCCGTTTCATCTGGTAACTGCTACGTGTAAGCTATGTCGTTAGCAAACACACACAGTCAGAGAAACATCAGAGGAAGAAAGAGAGCCTGGTACCTCCCCCCATAGTCCCAGCCCCCACAGGCTTCTCTCATTCCTCCTTTAGATTTGATTTGGGTTCAAATCTGCCCTCTCCCGGACTCCTTCCTGGTCGTTCCCAAATGTCTGGAACTGGGCACAATGCTGGAAGTGCCCCTTAGAAAAGTGGGCATTGTGGGGGAATGGAGGCCTCTGGAGAGAAAAGGTAGAGGAACTACAGCCCAGGAGTGCTGGTGTCCTTGCTGGTGGACATTTTTTGTGAAACAAGTCCCCTTGCCAAATGGTGCTGTAAAGCCCTTTCAACTCATGTGCCTAAAGAAGAAAATAATTACACTCTTCTGTTGGGGATCACCTAGCTCCCCACATCCCCTCACTTAGGATGTTTGGTTCCCACTGGAGCGTGTGATTGGAATACAAAGGTAAATGGGAGCAATTTATTCCCAGATCATTTTTTCCCCCCAGCAGGATTAAAGCTGCCTCAGTCATAAAGAGTTTACAAACTCTAAAGAAAGATAATAACTTCCCTTCTCACGGCCCGGTCATGGGGAGGTAATGCATGTTTCCAATCAGCTGAGAATGTAACTCAAATGGTAGGTTTTATTTCACTTTAATCCGCCTGTGAGTTCACGTTAAAGGTAAGAGGAATCACAGCCCTGCAATTCAAATAGAGTTCATTAAATTCCACATCTCCTCCCTCTTAACGGTGGAGAAGCAGGGTTTGTTTACTTCTGAGTTTTAAACAGGCTTTGAGGGCATCCAACGAGTAGCTGGGATGCAGGTAGAGCTTCCACAGTGAGGGAGGTTGGAGGGGGGACCTGCTGCCACCAGATGCCACGGGTGGGAGCCAAGGACGAGGACACGGCAGTGCTTAAGAAGTGAGCTCACACGGTAGACAGAGTGGAAGGAGGTGGCCCAGCCTGCAGCCCGTTGTGGGGTGGGGGCTGGCGGTGGTGATGCATTGTCCACACCATGTGGGGCTTGCCTGTGTCTGTATGCCTCTTTGCTGAGGGCAGCCTCACTGCTCAGGGGGCAGTCGTGGAAAGGATTCGTTCTCAGTTCCTGTTTCAGCTCTACTATTTAGACACCAGGAGACCTGGAACCAGCCCCTTGATGAAGCCTTGCTTTACAGGTTTATGAAGTGACTGTCCATTTGAAGGGAGAGAGACATATTTCCCCAGTGGCCTGCTGTGAAACCATAATGCCCCTTCTTGTACTATGAAACGCACTCCTTTGGGTGAATCATCACCCTCTCCAGTCATTTCTGTGAAGATGCAGGTGCCTCCAGCAGTGTGACATCCTAGCTTCCTATGGCCACAGGGACCTGTTCAACAGGCAGCTCTGGTCTGTGTGCTTGAAGTGTTGGCATAGCGAGGAGGGTGTTGCCAGTGTATGCTTGGGGAAGGGGGTGGAATGGGCTGGCCTTCACCCCCAGGGATGGGAAGGGGGTCAAACAGGAGCCTATGGAGGCCTGCTGGGCAACAGACCTGGGTTTGGTCCAGTCAGTCTGGCCCCTGACTACTACTGCTCAGAGCCCTTCTCAGGGTGTCCTGGGGGAGGTGGGCTATCCTCTGTGTGATCTGCTGGGGACAGAAAGTGCTGGCTGAGAGCTGTCTATCCCTGATGTGGGGCCCTGTCAAATCCATCAACCCTTTTCAGCAGTCACCACACAGCAACCCCAAGCCCGAGGTTTTGTTTGAGTGTGAGCTACAAAGGCTCAAGAGCTAGAAGAAAGCACCAGCCTTGACCTGCCCCAGCTAGAGCGTCTGTGCTGACCCCCCCAAAGCCTAGAAGAGGCAGCAACATTCACCTCACTTAACGTCAGTCTGCAGTTTTGTGACCTTCTCACCCCAGCTAGCCGACTGGCTTCCCACCATTGTGAGCCTCGCCCTGCCCATGCCTGGCCTGAGGAAGCCCCAGACCCTGGCACCCAAGGTGACTGTGGCCTTGACCACAAGAGCCCCATACATCTGTGCCACCATCTCATGCCCAGCTCTGTGACAGCCACCAGGAACAACCCGTGGCCCTTGTCTGCGAGGAGCTTGAGGTCTCACTGGGGAGACGCGGACAGAATGCATGCCCAGCCACGGTCCTTCTTCCTCCAGGCTGTGGCTTGGATTGCTCTGTGTAGTGTGTCTGCTGTGACTTTCTCCCGGCACTGTGTTGTGCCTTAGAGGACCACATTGTGGCTGTTTGTGGAGTGTTGGTGTGTCTCCCTTGGGGGTTTGCCGTGTCTCTCATATACAAATTGGGAAGATTCACATCCTTGGAAAAGCAGAGGAATGTGAGAGTAAAAAAATGCCTTAAAGGGCACAAGGGATGATTTCTATTTCTACGTTTCCAGACGTTATCTCAGAGAATTGTAGTGCTCTGGGGTATGCCTGAGTGTAATTGATGTAGCTCCTTGCAGCAGATGGTGTGTGTGTGTGTATAAATATAAAGTGAGTCCACATGTCTATACACATTCAGTTCATTCCACTGAACCAGACAATGATAGCTAGCTAACCCTACTGAGCAGTTACTGTGTGCCAGGAACTGCGCTAGGTGCTTTATATGTGGTGTCTCAAGTTTGCCTCCACACTGACTCTGAGGAGGTAGGTATTGTTATCTTTCTTATTTTTTTAGAAGGAGAAACTGTGGCACAAGGATATTGAGTCATTTGTTCAAGATCACAGAACTAGTAAGTGGGGAGTTCTAACCCAGGCAGCAGTCTAACCTAATGGCCTCAGCTTGGAACAGTGTCAATGTGCGTGTGTGTCTCTGTACACCTGTGTGTGTGTGTGCATGTGTGCACATGTCTGTTCAGTCATGTGGGTTTCCCTGTGGTGGCAGCTGAGAATGTACAGAGGAGACTGTTTTGAGGGATGCACTAGCCTGCTTAGCAGTTGGTGCAGGCAAAGGAGAGAGGTGTCAAGTGCATAGGCCAGGCCCTTGAGCCATCTTGACAATTTCAACTGTTAGGAGAGAGTGGGGTGGGTATCATGGATCTGATGATTTAAATGTTTTTATACTCAAGAAAAATGGATCCTAGGATGGGCCAAGTTTAACTGTCTTGAAAACTTGGTAGAGGCAAGGTATGGGTTTTCCAGGAGATTGTGTGAACTGGTAGAGTCTGAAACAAACCAGATGTTTCCTGGCCCCCTTCTGTCCCAGTCTGGCCTGTCATCCTTCAGTCTGCTGTACAGTTCATCCTGCATCCCTGGAGGCCTCCCAGATGCTTCACCCTTAAGGCCCAAGTCATGAAATCTCCCACAGAGGAAGGGAACTGCTCCTTCAGCAGAACTCTGAATGTGATGGACTTGTTTTTCCCTGGAGGGGGACTCCCACCAAGGCCCTTCCTTGGAGAGGGGCACTGCTCCTTGATGGAGTGGGAGAGCTTCACCCTGGGGGTTCTGTGGGATCCCCATCAGCTTCTTCTCTGCAGACTTTGATGTTCAGGTGCAGTTTCCAGGTCGTGGCTTCTTGAGTTCTGCATGTGGACTGTTGTTCTGTAATGCATGTCTTTGGGAACACTTTTGTCTGTGAGGGATCTTAGTTGCCTTTAGTGTTTAGAATATAAAGGCAGTTTCAGAACCGTGGACTTCACCAAATCAAACTACACATGACTTTTCCTCTATGGCCCATCTCTCCTTCTACAAACCCTGTCTCTTGAGCCTTCTGATGCAAAGGACAGGTAGAAATTCCCTACTGGTTGCCCACCAGGTCCATGATTATAGTGAGTTCCTTAGTCAGGGGATTACAGAGTATGGGGAAGCCCATAGGATCTGGAGCCAGTTTCCTGGGGATTAAACCATCCTTAGCTCCATGTTGATTGTGAGCCCTTGATCTACACCTATTAGGTTCCCTCTCTCAGGTCTTATGATAGTAATTAACACTTATTAAGTGTGTGCCAGGCACTGACTACACTGACTACTGTCACCTCCTAAGACCATCATCACCACTCTAGCAGGTAGGTACCTTACCCATTTTCTGAAGGGAGGGCTAAGTCACTTGCCTAAGATCACACAGGTAGTGATGGTGCAATGTTGGACAAGCTATTTAACCTTTCGGAGTCTTGGTTTCCTTGTCTGTAAAATGTGGTCAATACCATTGTCTATCTGGGGTGCTATGAGAATTAAACGAGGCAATGCCTCTAGCACCCAGCACACAGTAGCAGTCAACAGACAAGGTCACTTAATATAGAGCTAACATTAAACCCAACTGGAGGAAAGAGAGAAATATGATGACTACAGCACCAATCACAGAGGTGATCAGATAAGCAATTTACTCCTAAAAGCTTGACTTTCCTGAGTACAATGTAAGCTCCCTGAGGGCAGGGACTTTGTCTGCCTTGTTCACTCTGACTTCTGGGGCTTTGCATACATCTGGCACAAGGTAGAGGGTTTTTGAATGAATAAGTGAGGGATTGCCTTAGGGGTCCCAAGAGGCCAGTCATAGCATTGCACAGCTCTTCTCTGGAGGGCCTTGCTCTCCTTGCCTTGCAGCTGTGATTTGAGTGTATCTGCCTCATCCTCCTTGGTGGAGAAGCTTCCCAAGCCAGGCCAAGCCTGAGTCGTCTCCACTACTGTCTTCCTCATGGAGAAGGTGCTTATGGCCCACAAGTGAAGTTAAGCCTCCTGGTAGCCTGCTCTGAGTGCAAAGGGTCTTTCTTCTTGGAAATGGAAAGTATTGGAGGTGGCTACTGACCCGGGGATGTGAGTCAGCTGGCAGGCCATGCCGTGCCCTCAGTGCCCTGGGTACCCTGGAGAGCAGTCTGGGATCTTGATGACCATCTGTGTTTGTAGATACTCCTCTCTGTCACATGGGTGAACACTGTTTCTAAACCATACTCTCCTCTCTTGGGATGGCATGGGAATTGGCTGCTCCCCCTGTTCACTGAGAAAATTCTCCCATCTTTGGCCCACCTGGTTGCTTACTAGTCTATTATTTAGAAAGACTGCCATCCCCCATTGGTATATCACCCACCCTGAGCGAAATAACTGTTGGACTGAATTCTTTTTTTTTTAGAAAAGTCATAGAAATATATTTAACATGTGTACATGGAGTCTTCAAAATGAAGACACAAGGGTCCAGAGGAAACTGTACATTTTTATGCTTAGGTTCAACACAGTACAGGCAATCATGTAAAAATACGATTGAACAGAAAAGGTATGATAGAATGCTAATAGTCTGAGTGGGGAAGCACAGCAAGGCCTGTCTGTCTAGATTCTTCTTGGCTTCTCTGAGCATGGGTGTGGAGCGGGACCCTCTCTGTAATGGAGGTCTTATGACCTACAGTTAAACAGGGTAGGTCAGATAATTTCTTTATGGCTAGTCTACACAGAAAGGCAGAGGGAAAGTCAGAGTAATATTTTTAGATTTTTCTAGCTGGCTTTGGGGAAAAGGGGCTCTCATTTCTATGACCCATCTTGGGGAAAAACGGGTTCTAGTTTCTATGGCTAGCCTTGGGAGAGAATGAGACTGAGAGATAGAACAGGAGAAGATCAGAGACAAACTTTTTCCTCTGAGGCTGCCAAGGCCTTCATTTTGGGGTATTGTTTTCTGAGCCCCAACATCAGGCAAAACCTTCTGCCCCACCGACTCATTTCCTGAAGACCTTTGCCCTCCAGTCAGCCAAGGTTTTCATCTAGAAGTGGTAGAGAATGAGGGGTCCGAGGATGAGGAGGATGGTAGTGACAATGAACTTCCAGGCAGGCCCAGCTCCCAGCTCCTATCCTCTGAAAGCCCCGAAGTCTGCCTGCATCCTCTCCAAAAATGTGAGCCCCCACCTTTCCAATTTCCTCTTACACCACTTCTATGGTTCCCGCCCCAGCCTCTGCATGACAACGTGGCGTGCATGCGGCCCATCTGGGGATCAGGGAATCCTATTGGGTATGCCAGCTTAATGAAATACTTGCAGTTTATTAAACACAGGCCTCCCTAAGCCCCGAGTGCCTGTGGGTATTTGAAAGCTGAAGGTAACCCCGAGCTACCACAGACATAATTGTTACATGTGTCCATGCATTCCTGGTGCAACCTCAAACTCCCGCTCTTAAGCAGCACACGAAATGAGCAACATAAAGTAACTCCTAGTCAGACAAGAGCGGGAAATGTGAGGAAACGCTGAGAGAGGCTCCCCAGAACCCCTCAGGGCCTCTAAAAGTATATGAAGTTCCCATTACCTTGCATAGCTCTGGCCATGGAGGGCGCTTCTCTACCCCGGGCTGCTCGGTGTTTGCAAAATTGGTTCATTATGAGCCAGGCGGCCCGCAGGCCTTGCATGATGACTCTCGAACATTTCAAGTTCTGTTCCGGCACAGCCTCGTTCTCAGTGGCGGGGCTAGCAGAGTGCACCATTTGGGGACTCCCTTTGGAGTTGTATTTCTGTTCCTCCTTCATGGCTTGGCTGGAGAGGGCTGTCCCGAGTCTGGGAAGGGCTGTAGAGAAACGCCAAGTGACCTGGCGTCTGCTCCTCTGAACCTGGGGGAGGATGCTTTTGGGGGATGCTTTCCCATTCGTCAGTCTCCTCGGCCTCGGGTCTGTAAATCAGGGGTGAGGGGCTGAGATGGAAGCAGCAGACAAAGGCCTCGAGGGAGGTGCCTTCCTCTATGTGGACCAGCATCTGGACGCCACAGAAGAAGACCCTGTTGATGATTCTCAGGGGGACCTGCTCCAGGTACCTCAGCATCAGCCCGTTAACCCACACACAGCCCTTGCGGCTCAGGGCCTTGAGGCAGAAAACCAGCTGAGCATTGCCCTTCTCCAGGTAGGGCTCCAGGGACAGGTGTCGACGGGAAAGGTGGGGGAGCTGCAGCTGGAGGTGGGCATCCTGCCCGCGCCCGACCAGTAGGGGGCTGGCGTCATGCTGCAGTTGTGGCGGGACATTGGCGAAGGCAGCTGGGCCCAACGTGGGGTGGTGCAGGCTCACCCGCAAGACCGTGAGGGGCCTCTCCATGGACAAAATCCTGGGAAGGATGGAACACAGACACAATTGTGTGACTCCCTGAGCCCGGGCATACTTGCCTACCGCAGCAACCCTCCACCGCATTCAACCAAACAGAGCCATTCTGCCTAAACCAGGATGGAGCCAAAGATGAAATTGATGTGGAAGGTCAGGTCCACTGACTCTAGAACTAGCTTAGACTCTCCCGCACTCTGTGAGTAGTACATGCCACCCACACTCCCTGACTTTTAGATTTCTGTTATATAGGTTTGTTCATCCTTGTCTATTCAAGGGATAAGGCATACTGGCTTGCAGGGTGGAGTTTTGCTGATCTATTGGTCATTTGGAGACTATTTGGCCCTACTTCATAGGAAAGAAACGTCTATACCTTCCTTGTATCTGACAGTCATACAACAAACCCTTGCTGAGCCCTCCTTTGAGCCAGGCCCTGAACCAGTTGCTGGGAAAAAGCAAATGCAGTTGGTTCAGGGCCTGGTTCAGGGTCTCGGGACCAAACCCTTGCTCTCGAGACACCCAGCCAGTAGAGGAGACTGGCACTTCTAGCACCAGGAACCATGGAAAGACACAGAAGAAGGAAGCTCAGCCTGGTCCTGGACACTAGAAAGGCTACCTGGAAACCTCCATGAAGAATAAACACAGCTGGCATTTTTCAAATGCTTCCTATGGGCACTTGCAGGAAGGCCACTTAAAATGGTTAGCTTTGTTCCTGAATGAATTTGAGGAACACACACTCTCTGCCACATCCACCAATCCCATGTGGCCACCACCATCAACAGGAAGCAAGGGCTGAGTGGATTTGAATAATTAATTTTACACTTGCCAGGCACCAGGTTTTGCTCATGTTATTTCTCTGTTAGGAACTCATCTCCCATCCCAGACTCTGTGCCCAAATACTGCTCAGCTTTCAAGGCCAGATTCAAATGATACCTCTTCTAGGAAGTTCCTTTCCCTGGGGGAGGTAAGCTTTCTCTGCCCTCTGACCCCCACAGCAGGGAGAATCCTGCTGCAGTGGAAAGTCAGGTCCACTGACTCTAGCACTAGCTTAGTCTCTCCCACACTCTGTGAGTAGTGCATACCACCCACCCTCCCTAACTTTTAGATTTCTGTTATATAGGTATTTCTGTAATATAGGAGACTGGCACTTCTAGCACTGGGAGCCATGGAAGGAAACAGAAGAAGGAAGCCCACAGCGGATTCTCACCTGGCCAATCCATCCTTTCAGTCCACATTCACGCCAGAATTCTCTGGGCCCTTGTCCTGTCTTCCCTGAGCTCTTGTCTCCCCAAGGCCTCCTGAGAGCTGGGTGTGGTCTGAGCTTCAGTGCTGCCCTGTGTCTCACTGCCCAGTACAGACAGTGCCTGACCACAGTGTATGGGGGCACATTTATCAGGTAGCCAAAGGAGGAGAGGCCCACACACATGGGGAAATCAAGTCCAGATAGACCACAGATGGGAGCCGGGTCCTTAAAGGCTGTGTGATAGGGAGCCTATCTCAAGTGGAGCACACACAATGTCTTTCTGAGTCCCAAATTCTCTCCCTGTCTTGCTTTCTGGATGAAGTAGGCTGTAGTAGGGACCTTCCAGTCTGAGAGGCAGGGGTGCTCCCCTCAGAACACCCCTTTTTTCTCAATGCACAGGCACACATATGCCTCTGCCAATACCTCCCTCTTTACCCAGCCACAGAAAGCCTCTTCCTGAGGCGTGGGATATAGGCTGAGCCCAGGACAGCTGGGCTGAGGATCTGTGCCCTTGGTCCTGGCTAGGAACTCAGAGCTCACTCCCAGAATCCAATCTCATGGTCTAGGGGCCCTGAAAGAATCCTTTAGAGAGAAGGATTCACTGCTGCCCTGTGGGATCTCAGGCTTTGCTCCACTGGGCGACCCAGAACTGACAGAAATCACTTGCCAGAGTGGAGCCGAACCAAGAGAGGCTGTCGTGCGTCTCTTGGATCCCAGTTGTTTTGGGCAAAGAGAACCCAGTCCTCTGAATCCTGCCTTGGGGGGGAGGCAAGAGGAAAACATTCTGGGGTATGTCTAGAGAGGACCATCCTCCCAGTCCCACCAGGCTTTCTCCTCACCCCATGGGTTCAGGTCCTTCTGACCTCCACCTACCTTTTTGCTAGGGCAGAGCTGGCTAGCACTGCAGCTGTGAGCTTTCAGGAGGGAGTGGGTTGGTCTGGAAGGGAGGGCCAGAGAGGCCCTTTTATGGCTGTGGTTCAGGAACGGGATGCGTCAGCACATGGTTCAGTTTTGTTGCTTTCTTCCTTTTTCCCTTAAGAAAGACAGCGAAAGTGTAATTTTTCATTGCAGAAGTGCAACCCTACTGCTGAGAGGATTAGAAATTCCAGCATGCAACTCTTTCTAAGAGGGGCTTCCCGATGGGTGGCATACCCTCCTGAGTTTCAGTTCTACCAGTCTCTCCTACACCACCCCTAGGAACCTTGAAACCTGCACTCAGGATACAAAACAGGGGAAAAAACAGCCCAGGCTTGCTAGAAACAAGAGTTTTTTGGACAGAAGGCTACTGGGCAGTAGAGTCTATACTTCACGTGGGAAACTGAGGAGCTCATACTGTCTGGACAGGAGTTGGCTGAGGAAGTTGAAGGCAACATGGCAGTCTTCTGAGTATCTCAGGAAAGGGCAGGGCCTCAGGAGAGGGGAAATAATGAATGGCCATTCATGACAGGTGTTCTCTCCTGCAAAGGACCAGCAAGAAGGCCAACTCTTGTGCCCACACCCTGGCTCTGCTGGTCTGCAAGAGGTGAAGAGGATGCTTGCCCAGCTCTGTGGGCTCTAGCCACCCTGGAAGTGACTGGATGTTGTGATGGTGCTAACCCTTCACAGTCCACCCATGTGTTTGTGTCATCTGCATTGCCTATCAACCTGCCAAGGTGACACAAGTCATGTGCGCATCTTATATGGCCCTAAGAGGGGCCATTCCAGGTCCAAGGTCACTTATGAGTCAACACTATAATTCATTCTCCTTCTCCCATCCAACCCTGGTTGTCCTGGAGCCTCTTGGGCGGTATGCAGATGAGTGTGCAGGTCAGGCTACCCCTCCCTAGTCTGCCTCATTGTCCCCAAGCCCACTACTTACCCCTCATGGGTGATCCTTGTGGCCCAGAATGTCAAAGAGTGCCAACAAATCACCAGAAGCTAGGATACAGACATGGAACAGATTCTCTCTCACATAGCCGACAGATGAGACCAACCATGTCAAAACCTTGACCGTGGACTTCTAGTCTCCAGAGTCCTAAGACAATAATTTTTGTTGTTGAAGCCACCCAGCTTTGTGGTACTTTGTTACAGAAGCCCTAGCAGACAAATACAACAGTTGATACCTCTCTGCACAGATAATTCACTATTCTAACTTCTATAAACTGGCATGGTTTAGTTGTACCTGTTCTTGTACTTTATATAAATGGAACCATAAAGTCTGTACCTTTTGTGTCTGGTTTCTTTTGCTCCAAGTAATTTTTTGTGAGATTCATTTACATCATTGTGTGCATCTTTAGTTCATTCTCTTTTCTACTACTGTATTGTGCTTCATTGTACAAAAGAGGGATCCCAAAAAACGGAATTGTTTTCTGGAGGGTGGATCCCTTGTAGTACATACTTTCTCTGCTGCGTAAGTGTTTTAGGAACCCATTGGCATCAGTAGCTGGAGTTGTTGTATTTGCCTGCATTTGGTTTTAGGGAATTTCTTTTTTGGGGGGATTTTTTCAACACATCTGCCCATTTCGTGACAGGGTGATTTACAAATGCACTTGCCAACACCATGCTGAGTGTGTAGCAGTTTTTGACCAAAACCGGCGTGATCCCTGTGCCCTGCCTTCCCTTCCCTATTCACCCGATCTCACTCTGAGTGACTTTTTTCTCCTCCTCCTCCTCCTTCCTCTTCCTCTTCCTCCTCCTCCTTCTCCTCCTCCTCCTCTTCTTCTTCTTCTTCTTCTTCTTCTTTTTAGTGATAAAAGTCCTTAAAGGGAAGTGTTCTGCCAGTGTGGAGGAGGTGAAACAAAAAACCAGCAGAAGCACTAAAAGACATTAAAATTGACGAGTTTAAAAACTGTTCTGAGCAGTGGAAAAACAATCTTGATAGGCGTATTGTATTAAACTAAGAGTATTTTGAAGGTGACTGAACTTTAAACATGTAGGAATAAATACATATTTTTTATAAATAAATTCCATTTGGGGGATGGTCCCCCCTCACATACATATTATACAATTTGTTTGCCCATTTTTCTGCTGTTGAACATTAGGTTGTTTCTAGTTTTTGCCTAAAGGAATAAAATTGCTGTGAACATTCATATTCAGGACTTTTTGGTTTTTTGGATATACCTAATGAGATTGCTTCTGTTTGTTTGTTTTTTTTTTCTTTCGTTTTTTTTTTTTTGAATAGTTCGTCCTGTATCTTAGCATGCCTGGTCATTTTTAAATTAATTATGGAACATTGTTAACAAAAAGTTGTAGGCATTCCTATATGATATTAACTTTGTCTTGCAAATACTTCATTTTCTTCTAGAAGGCAGTTGGAGGAGAGAGATTGATGTCACTTGAGGGGGGTTTCAGGCTTCTCAAGGTCTGGTCTATTTTGGTTTCCCCTTAGTCCTAGGTCTATTCTATGAGGTCTTAGTTGAAATCCTGGAATGTTTAACTGGGCCCTTCTTCTCTGTCTGGTCCTGGACTCCAATTTTGGTCTCTCCAGTGCCATGAAACAGCCCAAAGCTCTGCTTAGTTTCTTAACCTGTCAGCTCTTGCTTTTACTTGGCTTTTCAGCCTCTCATTCCAACTAGCTCTGAAATCAGCAGATGTCACCTTAATGGTGGAACACAATGGCGAACTAACTCACTTCTCTATGATTCTCTTTTTATCTAGGCTCTTGGACTTTTGAGACCTGAGCTCCAATTTGTTTCTCCCCTGTCCAATGAAACCCCGATGGCTCTCAGCTGCTACTTTCTGCTCAGCCTCTAGGCCTGTGTCACCTTTGAGTTAG